TATATATATATGGCGTATAGCCTATATTACTTACTCCGAAATTTTGAAATATTGTGAATATAGGGCACAACGCAACACCTTCAAAATATATAGTAGATGATAATAAGTAGTAGTCGAGAACAAAACTTTATTGTTAATGAGAAGTTCTTATTAAAAAAAAGCATTACAAAGACTTACTTTATTATTTAGTAAAATATCAGCTTTGATAGTTTAAACAACATTGTTTCTTCAAATATTTTCAAATATTAGAATATTACAGTAATTGATTGGAGTATTAGTCAAACAATTATTTTCTTTGAAAAATAAATATTTATTAATTTTTAAAAAATAAAAATAAATGCACTCTTCTTTGTATTTCGAGCCTCTTTGTTTTGATGGAGCCGGATGTAATAAATATTATGGAATGAACATTAAAAATTCGTTTATTTTAAATTCGATAAGTATTCCAGCAATTATTATTTGGAAAGTACCAACACCCCTTTTCGGAGAAAAAAGTTTTCACCCTTTTAATCCCACAACATGTGCTCCTCCATATAAGAAGCCATTTTTTCCCACTACTCTTCTGCCTCTCTCTCTCTGGTTTCTCCAAAGAAAACCTCCATTTGTAGATCCATAATGTAGTTCACATCAAGATGGGAAGAAGAACAGACAGAAACCCTAAATCTTACACTCTCCCTTCTTCCCCTACTCACTCCTCTTCTTCTTCAGATTTCGAGTTCACCATTGCCCTTTCTCCACGTAGTCGCAAGTTTTCCACAAACCAATGTCCTGCTGACGAGCTTTTCTACAAAGGCCAACTCCTTCCCCTTCACCAATCTCCGCGCTTGTCTATGGTTCGTACTCTTCTTCTCGCTTCGTCTTCGACCTCTTCCTCCTCTGATACCACGACTATTGCTTCCCGTGACTCCACGGGCAGCAGTAGTTCCAATGATTCCCAATATTCCTACTCTAGTGGCGACCTCGTCCTCCTCCCTGAAGGATGTGACTCCTCCCGCCCTAGCTCCGTCACGGAGGAGGACGAGTTCAAGCGCCTTAAAAACTCAATAGGCATTCCTTGCACCTCCATCAAGAAAGGTAACAAGTACTTGAATTTCTCACTGTCGAGATTTTCTTCTGTGTTCCGCAAAGAATCCAAGAATCAAAAGAATGATTCAGATGTGATCTTGGGACCTCTGCCTGCTCAGACGACCACGTCCTCGTCTTCTGTGAGACGCATGAGTACATCAGCTAGAGAAGTCATTCGTAAGTATTTGAAAAAAGTTAAGCCTTTATACGAGAAGTTATCCCAAAAGCCGTCTGAGAAAATGATGGTATCGTCAAATACTGTAACATTATGCATGAAATCTCAAGATGAGTTTTTGAAAAGCAGAGAAAATTGTTATTCTTCTATTCAGAGCTCTATTAAAGAAAATACCCAAAATCCAACAATTTCGCAATCTTTTTCTGGGAATTTGAGGTATCCAAGGAGGAGAAGCTACGTGTCAAGCTGTCCTTCCTCGATAAGATCATCACCAAGCCATTCTGGGGTCCTCAGTAGAAGTGGGTTCACAACTCCGACTAACAAGACGATGACAGGTGGAATTTGTTCATCAGATTCGTCAACAATGGAGGAGTTACAAAATGCAATTCAAGGTGCAATTGCACACTGCAAGAATTCCATGCTTCAGAATCTGAACACTAGTTCTTAATAAAATTTGGTCAGTTATGAAATTTAACAAATTTTTAGTGTTGTTTTTAAGGTAAATAAGAAAAGAAAAGAAAGAAAAAGATCAAGAATATTTGTGTTTGCTAGATAGCTATTGGATCTAAAGGTTATTTTATTTTATTTAGCGGGTTATTTGACTGAGGAAGACGAGGATTTAACCTTTTGTGTTTTTTACCTTTTGTTTCATAGTTTAACCTAGCCGTTGCGTCTTGATCGAAGTTTTAGTGAGTTGCATGTGATGTTATTAATGGATCACTCATTTGGATTCTTCTCTTCTCTGTTTTGTTCCATTGAAATTTGGAGTGCCTTGGAATTTGTACTTCGTAGTTTGTCTTCTACTCTCTCTCTCCGCTATATTTTATGCGGAATCTGAGAGTACTTATTATTTTTACAATTCTTATGACTATCTAGTTTTATGTTTTTTATTTTGGATTTAAGTTTTTATGACTTAATCTAACGGTACTATTTAAAGTTTAAATAGTAGTACTAATAGCATGTTTGGCCCAAGTTTATTTTTGGCCAAAAATACTTTTGACCAAAAATTGAGGTATTTGGCCTAGTTTTTGGAAGGAAAAAAAATGCTTTTAGAAGAAGCAGAAGCAGTTTTGGAGAAGCAGAAAAAAGTAATTTTTCTTCAAAAGTATTTTTTTGAGAAGCACTTTTGAGAAAAATACACTTAGAAGTAATTTTTTAAAGATTGGTCAAACACTAATTGCTGCTCAGAAGTGCTTTTCAAATTAATTAACCAAACACAAACTGCTTCTCACCAAAAGTATTTCTGAGAAAAATACTTTTGAAAAAAAACACATTCTCAAAATAAGCTAATTTTTGCAGTTTCGCCAAACAAGGTATAAGTTTCGTTTGAAATTTAAGGAAGTAAAGGTACGTATTAATGAGCTTTGTAAGTATATGAGAATCTTCCACGTGCCCGTTTAGGGAAATTAAGTGTAGTTTCAGTCTTCTCAGCTGGTTGGACATACGGCCGGTGACATTTATTATGGGAAGCAACTTTGAAGTTTCCACGGTTTGAATTAGAAATTTATTCAAACTAGAAATAAAAAACTTGGACTAGCTAGTCAACTTTAAAAAATGTCCCTTTTCCCCTTAATTCTGATTTTATTGTTCACAAGGCTTGAATTAATTCATATTATGGAAAGTTTTATCGTACGACTTGTGATTTCAGATGCAAGAGTCATATGTTGACCAAAAAAGCAAAAAGTCTTTAACAGACTGGCCGAACCAAAAGGTCTTCTAGTTCTAGTTATGGCTGTCTGACGGGACGGAACGAGACGGGACGGGACCAAATTAATGGGACGGGACGGAACGAGACGACATTTAAACGAGATGGAGGCGAGACGGGACAAAACAGGACAGGACAAACGGGACGAAACGTTCGTCCCATCCCGTCCCGCTAACAAACGGGATGGGACAGGACGGAACGTGACGGGACGGGACGGGTTCGTGGGCCTTAAGTGTATTTTTTTTTTTTAACAAAACGTCTAGTTTTTGAAATTTACTATGTATTTGACTTATTTAATTAACTTAAATGTTACTATGTTAAAATGAAAATTAGAAAACTAAGTAAAGAATTATAAAATATTAAAATAAAAGACTTGTAATGAAATATTCTAGTAATTATAAATTTATAATAGAGTTATAATTTATTTAATATAGTTTCAAAGTATTAACTATTAAGTAACTAAGACAATTCATAAATAAAATTCAACGCTTAGAGCCTTTTATTTTATTAGTAGAACTTTCAAATCTCAAATACAAATATAATTCTTTTGAAAAGTACCTAATCTACGCAGCCACCTTCTAGGAAGGGTTCTGTTTGAACTAGGCCTCTTAGTAGCCNATAAGCTCTCTGATCTCATCCCAATCAGAATCAATAATTTGATCAACAAGGTGAGCATTATGCATATTAAATACTTTTTGGATAGGCACCCGATAATCATAAGCAACTTTAAGCATTTTATAAGTAGAATTCCACCTAGTACAAACATCTTTTGGAACTTTTCTAAATGGAAGGTTAGCACTAGCACATTGTTGAGCAAATTCACGAATTCTACTTTGTTTATGAGCACGAAAAATATAGCCACAAGCATGTTGTATTTTACTACAAGCATCAGAAAATAAATTAAGACCATCTTTTACAACCAAGTTAAAAAATATGACATGCACATCTAACATGAAAAATTGTTAGATTAATTGGACAAAGTCTAGATTTTAAGCTATTTGCTGCGGTTGTGTTAGAAGAAGCATTATCTAAGGTGATAGTTAAAAGTTTATTAATGTATCCATAAAAATCAAGTATTTGTAGAACAGTAGTTGCAATATATGCTCCAGTGTGTTTTGAATCAACAAATTTATAACCAATAATACGTTTTTGCAAGTTCCAGTGATGATCAACCCAATGACATGTAACAGTTAAATAATCACAACCATTAGGACTACGACCTATATCAGATGTGATAAACACTTTATAATCTAAGTGAAAAAATACACAATGAAATACTGAAGATATTTGGTTTGAAATTTAAAAACATCATTTCTAACTGTGGTCTTAGGAAAACCTTGAAAAGCAGGGTTATATGTTTCTTGTATATAATGCACAAAAGCAGGGTGAGAACTGAAAGTAAAAGGTAAGCCACAGACAACCACCATTTTTGCTAAGTTTTCACGATCTCTATCTTTGTTATATTTGCGTAAAACATGACCAGAAGCAGGGTCAAGTTGTTGTTGAATTTGATTAGAACCAGATCCGCTAGGAGTGTCAGTACTGATGGTAGGATCTATAATTTTTCCGGCTTCTATGTTAGCTTGTATCCATAAAGATTTGTGATCCCTTATTAAGTGTCTACTTAAACCCCCCGTCCCACCACTTGTTGTGTGTGCAAATACTTGCTTACATTTTTCATATATAGCACGATGATTGACTTTATCATGTTTAAAAAATTTCCATACAAGTGATGTTTTGGGACGTTCAGCCTTAGGCTTACCCCTTACAGGGGGTACAGGGGGTAAAGCTCCAGACTGAGATTGACTCTGAGTTGGAGCTTGTGTTGCGGGACTAGTGGGTGTTTCATCTAATTCTTCTTCCTCATTTTCTTCATCCTCATTTTCTTCATCCTCAAAAAAAATATCATTGCCAAATTGTCTTTGTAAAGTTTCATGATCTAATTGTTCTCTGACATGAACATCATAAAATGTGGGGGGTTGGGAAAATGAAGTTTCATCAACATGAGTCATTTCATCAATATGCTTTCTAATTCTAGGTCTAGGAGAAGGGTTAGGATTAAGATTACTACTACTTTCACTTTTACTATTTTTTACTGCTTTTTTAAAAAATACCAAATACATTTTTAGGTGCCATAATTTAAATACGGAATTAAATTAAAAAAACTAACACAAATATTAAACACACAAATAAAATACGAAAATTAACACGTAAAGTAAACACAAAAATTAAGCACTAAAATGATACGCAAAATTATATATTAAAATTAGGAGATGGAACGAGTACAACGTGATTAAATATTGAAACTTGAAGAAATTGCCCAAAATATTGCTCCAAATACTTGACGAATTAATTTGAAGCTTGAAAGTTGCTCCAAAAAATTTGCCCAAATACTTGAAATTTGAAACTTGAAAGTTATCACTTGATAGTTGATAGTTGATAGTTGATACTTGATAGTAACAAAATTGAGAGAATAATATAGAATATNCGAAACGGGACTAAACGAGACAGGAAAAACGGGACGAAATGGTCGTCCCATCCCATCCCGTGTCCCGTTTAACATTGGCCCATCCCATTTAACTTGAAGCGGACCGGGATGGGACGGGACGGGACATCCCGTCCCGTTGGACAGCCATAGTTCTAGTATTGTTTCTTTAGTTTTTCATCAAGTAGCAGAAGTCTGATCGGATCAAGAAATATAGAAACTCTCATTCATAAGCGAGTACTTCAAAAGATATTGAATTTAACTACAGTTTGAATGTTAATTTGGTGAGTTTGTTAAATTTACCTAATCTAATCAAAGATAATGAATATCACGTACATGCAAGAGAGATGTGTATACGGTCGAAATCGGACTCATTTATTACATGACAGATTGGGTTCGGAATATGAGGGGTTGGAGATCGACCCCGAGTCCCATCGAGCCAGAACACGAGGTCAGAATGCCCGTCCTCGAGAACATTGGATCCATAATTCCGGAATTGATCCCGACCCTGACCCCGAACGAGCTCGAAGAGATATTGTCAGTGTAACCAACAAAAGACCGAAATAACAGAAGGTCGAAATATCTGTGACCGGTCGAGTATTACAGCGGGAATCTCAGCATGTATCAATAAGGAACCGGCAGATCAACAAATCAGGAGATTTTTACCTTTTATAAAATTGTACCCAAAGTAGACTCCCCTACTATATAAAGGGGGTCTGATTATTTGTAAAGGACATTGTGCCACACATTCAGAAAAAATATATTGTTATTTTCTCTTCAAAATTCTTATTCAATTGTGTCTTGACACTGATCGAAGTGCATTTTGTTCAAATGTGGCTCACCTCCCAAGGCTGTAACTGTTCAATTCGTGTGGTTTAAATTTACTTCATCATACTACATTTCAATTGAAATTTAATTTAATCGCTTTGTATCAATTTAATTCACGTATCCTTAAAACTACTTACAAATTCAATTGTTATCCGATTTTGAGGGTAACAGTTTGGCGCCCACCGTGGGGCTAAGGATAATAGTGGTTATTTGATACAAATTTCCATAACACACTATTTTACACTTGTTCCTTAAAGTGTCTCTGATTTCATGTTTAAGCTCAAATGTCAAACTCACAATTAGCACCCCTACTTGTTGATAATGAGTCTGGCCACCATGGTGAAAATAACAACCTAGTGTCGGGTAACGAGATACCGCCCGTTGATCCCGACGGAATTCCAGTTGGACACTAACTCACATGTGGCTATCGACGCAAACCTGCCTATTGACCCAAATAATAACATCCGTGGTGGAGCCCGATCGATAGTGCATAATACTCTAAGCAATGGAGGAGATGGGATCTATCTTTGGATGATTTTCGAAATGTCATAGGCTCAACAGACGGCGATAGCTCAGTTACAGAACCAAAGCCATGCACCGAGCAGAATTAAACCTGATCCGTCTCGGAAAATCACCCGTAGGGACCAACCCCGAGATCATAAAAATGCTCGACGAGCTGACAAAACAGATAGAATAAGGGGAGAAGAAAATTGAAGCAAAC